AATCGGCCGAATCGGCTTAAAGCCGGCCCTGAACGTGGGCACTGACGAAGAGAGAAGAACAGCCGCTGTCGGTAGCTGAAAGGGCAATGGAACAAGCTCTGTTGGGAATTTCCCTTCTGGATCATATCCCAAATGAAATGATCAGAGAACGCAGTGGTGTGAAAGATATTGTCGTGGAAAGCAGATATTATAAGATACGATGGGCGGGCCACATAGCACGGTTCACGGACAATAGGTGGACCGCAATCATTACTGAGTGGTACCCACGAGAACAGAAAAGACCACCTGGTCGGCCTCCAAGAAGATGGAAGATGACATTGTTAAACGTTTCGGACGAACGTGGAGAAGAAAGGCAAGAATGCGAGAAGAATGGCGGATGTGTTGTGATCGGCGCAGTCTTAACGACAGCTGAAGACCGATCGATCCAGGTGAGGCTATCTGGTCACCCTAAAGCTAGCACATATGTGTAGGGTGACCAGATGTCCTGATTTCATAGGGACAATCCTGATATGCGGGGATTTTTCTTATATAGATGCCTATTACTCCACTTCACCCCCATCCTGATTGTTCACATTTGCTGTCTGGTCACCCTACGTATACATCTACCTGAGCTGGAAATTGCACTTCCCAGCTGCAGCGCACACATACCCTGTGGCTCCAGGCACAGGAGCTGAGAGCAGGGCCACAGTGCTCCCTCTACTGGCACCGATGCAGGATGGAGGAGAAGGAGGAAGCTGTCTGTCTCAAATACAAAGGAGTGTGGTGGGGGGTAGGAGTAGGAGCAGAGAGGGACAGATGTGGGGGGATAGGAGCAAGGGTGGAGAAGGGCAGGAACCAAGGATGAGGGAGGGTAAAAGCACGGCAGAGGGGGACGACAAGAGCCATGGAAATGGGAGGATAAGAGTGGGACGGGGTGGGGAAGATGTGCAGGAGCTGGGGACAAGGGCAGGAGTGGGAGGATGAGGCAAGGATAGGAGCCAGGGGAGGACTGGAATTGGGGGACAGGGACAGGAGTTGGACAGAGGGAGAGCAAGAAGCCAGGGGGATAGCAACAAAGGAGAGGTCAGGGGCAGGAATGGGAATAAGGATAGAAGGGAACAGAGAGAGGCTGGGGAAAAAATATCTGTAACCACTAGAGCACACTCCCCTACAGAATCTGAAAGTTCACAGAACCCAAGAGTCCAGAGTTTCACCATTCCTCTGCTGTCTAACAAATAGCTGTGAAACCCCATGGCAAAGTATGTGTCTCCATCCCCCTCTACTGGCAGGTCCACAGAGAAGATAACAGACTTCTACTGCTACCAGTTACGCCATTACTTCCAGCCTAGAGGACTGTGCTGTGAATCTAAAGATTCCAACCCTGCTGATGACCCATAGGGTGGTGGGAAGGACAGTCAATATGGTTCCATGCGAAGAAATTATTGGCTTTTAAATGTTTAAAAAACTTAGAAATTTATATTCTGAAAAATCTGTGCTAAAAGAACATTAAGGTTGCAAAGTCAAGCACAGCAGTGTTAAGACAGGCCAACATTAGACTAGGAGAATTGGTGGCATCTGCCCCCTTGAGACCTACTAGCGCAGGTGCCATGGGCTTGGAGGCCCATGGGCGGAAGAGGCTTATATCCTGGAATTACTTGGCGCAGCTACATCCTCAGCACGCTATGATTTGCCTTGTGCCCCTCTCCAGCCACCAAGGGGTGCTCTTGGCCAGGGTTTGCTGCCCTGGACGTAAGGGGGGGAAGGGGAGGCTGGCTTCCGGCATGTCTTGTTTCTCTTACAGAGTTTGAGGAAGAAGCTAGGAGGAAGAGGAAGAGGAATTTGTCGGTGAGATGGCTGTGCTCTGACAGACTCACCCAGGCCTTGCTGTAGCGTCTCTGCAGCTTGGTGACCTACAGGAGGTGGGATTGCTGCGGAACCCAAAGGGGAGCAGGGGTCAGGTGGCGGAGAAGATGGGGGTTCAAATATGAGGCTTCCCCAGCCTACAAATCCAAGGGAGGGGAGAAACTTGAATTACTCCATTGCTCCCCTTTCCAATCATCCCAGATGTCACCCTGCCCCATCGCCCAACCGTTGTCCCTGTCCTTCCTTCTTACCTCAGTGTACCCTGTCCTGTCATCCCCTGACAGCTCCCCGGGCCAGGAACAGCATGCGTGGCGGCGGAGAAAGGCTCTTCCGGGGGGGACTGTAGGAATGACTGGGAAGGGGAACTCCTAGCCCAGCACAGAGACATGGGGAAAGCAGGAAGTGGGAGCAGATGAAGAGGCCTGAACCCTAGCCCAGGGGATTGGAAAGGAAAGTGGGAATAGATGAGGAGGTGGTGTCTTGTATCCCGGCACAGGGACATGAGAGAGAGGACTCTACCAATCAAGGGGGGGAAGATATGTGTACCCAGGGCTCAAATGGCAATTACTTCACAAGGAGCGATGCAGCCTTCTCACATCCCACCCCACCCCGGGGAACTGGGGCATCCTTGACTGCGTGCCTGGCCAGTGCAGAATGGCAGCGTGATGGGTTCCAGCCCCAGCTTAGGCCAAGAGCAGTCCCAGCTCTATTCCCCTTTTGTCTGCCTCACTTCCCCACCAGCTCAACTTCCCATCAACTGCCTCCTGCTTTTTGTTCTTCCTTTACTTCCTCCCCTCCTGCGGCTCTTTCCTGCTCGACCGCTCGCTTTCTGTGGTCTTTGATTAACTGACGTGTTCGTTTCGCCTGGGTTGAATTCAGACATAAGGTCACTAGTGAAATGAGTGCAGGGGGTTCTCAGACCAGTGATTCCTGGATGTTTAGCCGCAACACCGATTCCCCAAGACTGGCCACCTCCAATGAGGAAAGAACCTGGAACTGGAATAGCAGAGGGGACGCTGGCAGAGTTGGTGAGGGGGCCAAGAGCGAGGGGAACTGCAGGGCAGAGTCGAGGGGCAGTGGCGGAGCTGTGTCAGCAGCTAGCACTGGATGAGCAGGGAGAGCTGCAGGCCAGGGAAGTGCCTCTGAAGAGCCGTGTGGGGATCCCAGTACTGGGATAGGAAGGGGTGCTGCAAGCCAGGATACAGAGCTGTGGGAGGTCTGGAGAGCAGGTCTGAATGAGGCTCATTGGCAGAACTCGGCCAGGGGCTCTGGGGCTGAAGCGAGGGAGGGTGCTGAAGGTCAGGACTGAGCTGCATTGCCTGCACTGTGTGGGTTTCGTACAGAGGCTCCTCCCCTGGGTTGGGGGACCTAGAAATCTCAGCTTGCATTTAATAAAAGCCCCAAACAATAAGTTTCTAGCCGTTTGCCTTGTGAAAATGGCCTTGGACATGTAAACCTGAGGGGGGAGGGGATTTGTCACTGCTTCTTCCTAAAAATCGTGGGTTATTCATGATCATCCCCCTGCCCGTGGCTGCTTGGGTTTAGCCTTTGGGACACCTGTAATCCACAGCTGTGGGGCGCTGGATTTGTGGGAGGACCCCAGGCCCCACCTGGGCTGCCACAAGCTCCCTTCCCCTTCAGTGAGCCCCAATCCTCCAGTGTATTTGGAAAATTGTCCCTTGAAAACCTGTTTTACACGGTAGCAACTGTGCACAGAGTCCAGCCCAAGCGGCCAGACTGTAGCTCTGCAGTAGGAGGCCGAGGGTGACCTGAGGAGCTTTCCAATCTCCTCGTTTTATATAAAATGAGCCAGCTAGCTTTGGGGTTGCCCCATGGAACCATCTTCCAAACCCTCCCCACAACCCGATGGCCAGTCCCGTGCACGGTGCAGTGAGTATAGCAAGCAGGGATTGGGGAAATGGCTTTGCAAGCTGCTCAAGAGAGGTAATGTTAATGCAGTAGCAGGGGGTGCTCTTGGACCGAGGGGCATGGGCACAGTTGGTGGAGGGCAGAATTGGAACAGCACAGCATGCAGCAGTGAGGTGCATAGGCGGAGCTGGGGGTGGGCTCAAGGCTGGAATAGCAGGGGGTGCTGCAGGGCCGGAGTGAGGGGCCCGGGGAGAGCTGGGAGGCAGAACTGAAGAAGCACAGAGTGCTGCTGGGCAGGAGCGAGGTGCTCTGGCAGAGCTGTCGGATGTGTGGAGGAGAAGCCTGCCAGGCACCTGCTCACGTTGTGCTCGGCTTCAGGACAGCTGGCATTGTCTCACCATCCTCAGCCATAAGCCTGACAGAGAAGTAAGTGAGAGGAATCCTGTGCCCAGGCCACCAGATCACTTCTACAATGAACTGTGTAAGGCCCTGTGAATCCCTTGCCCTCCAAGAGGCTCTCGGAATGTTGATGCCAGCTGTCGAGCTCCCCCTGTGGGCACAATGCCCTCCCCTCCTTCCCTCTCAGAGCATGTCAGGGCAATCATGTACAATAGACAACAGACGTGGCAACCAAGTGCAATTACCTCAAGGGGAAGTGTGCAGCTTTCCGGGGCTGGGGGGAGGGGAAGAGAGAGCTTGACACTGACAGCCCCGGTGGTTAAAGTCCTATACTCTCCAGAACAGACACAGCACAGGCAGGGCCAAGGCAAGTACCCTCCACTGCCCTGCCGGGGCAAGGCTTCTACAAGGGAGGGAGCGACTCTAGGGATGAGAGGGGAGCTCACTCACCATGGCCCAGTCAATCCTTGCTGAGGGGCCTGCCCAAAAGGGGCCAGTGTGGGATGGGGAGAAAGGAACCTGGTCTGGATACAAGTCCATCAGCTGTCAGCAGGGGGCAGTTCAGGACCCAGCACACACTGATTTTGGAATTCTCACCCACCCGCCACCTATTGCTGATTTCTTTTGGGAGCTTAGCGCAGGGTTTGGGGCTGGGGGGGGGGGGAAGGAATGTTTCCCAGCACAAAACCATCCACTAAACAAGTTGGCTCTTTGAGTTGCCAACTTCCCTCTTCCTCTCTGCCCAGAGCACGCTGGATCAAACCAGATGACAGTGAATCTCGAGACCAACACCGCAGCAAAGACCTGAATGGCTGCCCATGTTAAAACAGCATGGCTTTTGCTCGTGGCTTGGTCCGTTTTATTTTTAGGAAGTAACCAAGAAGGGTTTGTACGCTCTGAGAAACATGAGTTCATCACTGCCGTCACCAATATGAGCAATATGGGAAGGAGATGGGGGTGGAGCCTCTAAACAACGCAGTCCATGCAGCTGACACACTTTTAGATTGAAGTAGTGCTAATTGTGGCAGGCACTCACAAGAGCAGTGGGGAAAGAGAAACTGACGGCTGTTGGAAGAATTGTCCTTTCAGCAGGTCTCAGGATGGAGATTTGTCCCACCGGTAAGTCTTTCTCCTGTCTTGTTGCTGCAAGTGTTGCTAACCCACTAGGCTCTGCCAGGGCAGTGTCACCAGCTGGAGTGGGGTGCTGGGGAGGAAAGGGGAGACGAGGAGTTCCCCAGATGCTTTGGGTGGGATTTATAGCTTTCAGGTGTTGTGCTGTTTTCACCTCCCTCCATCCCTCCCAGTTATTCAGGACCTGATCCAGCTCCCTGCAGATGTCCCACTGACATTAATGGGACCAGGATCAAGCCGTTACTGAGCTTTGTACAGACAGGACATCTCTGAGGAGGAAGGTTAAATCCCTCATGTCAGTGACCCTCAGACTAGCTAGATAACAAGGAGGCATGGAGTATGCCAGGCCCAGCCTGGGGCATCAGAGGTGCATGGGGCTCTGACTGTAAACAACAGATTCCTTTGATGCAGCCTCGGTGTGACAGGAACAGAGGTGCAAAAGCATGACTTGCAAGTTCAAGAGCGAAATTGTGAAAGCCTTCACTTCCCTGCTCCAGCTGGGGCTAGTGCAAAGTGAGTGTGTGTAAACGTTCTGACTGGGCAGTGCGTGGCACTGGTGTAAATGACGGCCTGTGGGGCACAGTAAATCAGAGGAGACAGGGAATGGCCCACAGCTATTGCCCTCTCCCCACCAGCTGGAAATGGGGGGTGGGGGAGAGGGAGCCCAAAGACTCAGCTCAGCAATAAAATCATAGGCCTGGACATATCCCTGCGAACCACAGGAACGCGACCGACTCCAAAAGAAGCTAGAAAGACAGAAGTAGCCGAGAGGCGATGAGCGAGATAAATACTTATTTCCTGGTTTGGTAAGTGGTGGGCAACAAGGAGGGGAGCTGACAGAGAAAGGGATCCTGGCTGGCCTCACCATGGCAAGGTCAATTGTCCAAGGAAAAGGTGGATCTCAAAATTGGTTGTCCAGCACGAAAATATGGTTGCTCTAATGTTGTTAATAGCCACAGTAGGTTAGTTGACATTATTAATATTGTTCTGCTTTGTACTGCAGTAGTGCCTGGGGCCCCAATTGTAAACCAGGGGCCACAGTGCTAGGTGCAGTACAAACACACAACAAAAAGTCCTTGCCCTGAGCAGCTTAAGTGGAGTCGTTGTATTTCTGTGATTCACATGGATATATCTAGGCCTATGATTTTTATTGCCGAGCTGAGCTATTGGTCTTAGGGCTTGGTTTGACACTGGCAGACATTTGGGGAAGGGTCTTCATTGGCAGGAAATCTGCCTTGAGGCCTTTGGAGCAGTGAAAGGTACCCACCCCCAACCCCATCCCGTCTGGGGACACACAGCTGGCTGGCACCGGTTCAAAAGTCAGCTGCGCTGCCTGGAGAGGAGGCGTGGTCAGAGGGCCAAGAGTTTGCCCAATTGAGTGTGTCCCTCAGGCAGCTTTCAGTGAGGAAGCTTCTGCAGTTTAAGGTTGCCCAGCCCATAGCATGACCCCAGTGAGGGGTGGGGGTGTGAATACTCCCTTGCCCTCTGCCTGGAGTGAATCCCACTGGGGCGCAGTGACACCTGCCGGTGCTGGGGGATGCCATTTGCACCTCTCTGGGCCAGCTCCGGGGAACCAAGCCCATTGTCTGTTTCTGTGGAGAAAATGTTCTACTTCCTCTCCTCCCTCACAGTCCATGGACAGGGCAAGCCTGAAAGGTGGCAACTCCCACCCCTTTCCCTTGGGAGGGGGGCGAGGTGAGCGACTTCATCTTGTGTGTTCCTATGTGGGAGAGAGCTACACCGGCAGGGCCATGGGCTGGGCTGGGCGATGGAGCCTGCGCTCATAGGCTGAAGTATGGTGAGATGATCATGTCAGAATCAGAACAGTGATGAGGCTGGGAGAGGGATCCATGCGAGGAGGAAGGTGAGGAGCTCTGGGGTCTGCTACTGCCTCTCATTGGCTGTAAACTCAGCCTCATACCGAGGTAGACCAAAGGCCTGTGTATTGTGCAGCCTGCATTTAGCCTGGCTTCTAGTATTGCCAGCACAGTTTTGTACCCATTACTGATGGAGGGAGGAAATTGCAGGTGCAGTTGTTCGTGTCTGCAGCGGTATGCATTTAGATGCCTAGCTACAGCATGTGGTTTTCGGTGGGTCTGGCTAGTTAAATCATTGTGTTCATTATTTGGCATGTGTGCTGTGTGGTCACCAAATTTGCACCATCCACGCTGTACGTGGGTTTTGAAAATACAGGTCTGAGCCTGTCTTGGGGAGATGATAGGAGTTGATGAAACCTTTGGGGGCCCTGACTCACTGGTGCATTGGACTTGACTTAACTAATTCCTGTTCAGTGTGGGTGAAATTTACCCCTGGGCAGAGGGCCCATACATGGTCTATGCATCATTTATGTCCCAGTTAAGTCCTCAACATAGGGCTTATGTGGAACTTAGCTGGTGCCTAGACTCTGGGTGGGTCCTCTGTACCAGATGGGACCTTCTTCACCCTGTGATCACAGTGCTACGCCCAGGCTCATCTTTAAGGTATTGGAGTGGGCCAAAGCAAAGAGCCACTGGGACTCTCCCTTCCCAAGTTCTCAGGCTCCGTTTTCTATAAAAGCAGGGGAACCATTGTGCTGCTATCAACCTCCTCTGCTGTTGGGAAAATAGAGGCCAGCTGCCTGCCCTGGAGTCTATGCACATTATTATTATTTATTACCACAGTGCCTAGGAGCACTAAGCATGGACCAGGACCCCACTGTGCTAGGTGCTGTACAAACACTGAACCAAAAGATGGCCCATGCCCCAATGAGTTTATAATCTAAGTAGAATAATTGCCCTCATTTAACCATTCAATTGATTCAATGGGCAGTTCTTCAAATAAACCACTCGATTCGGGCTCATTGCAGGATTTTGTGGGCAAAAGGGTGAATTTTAGGATATTTTCTCTCCTTTCCCCACCTATTTAACTACAGAATCCAAAGCAGGCAACAAAGGACTCAAACTAGCCATCTTGTGTCTCCGCTACCAAAATGCAGAGGTTTGGGATGCTTGCTAGGGAAGCACAATGAAAGAGAGGCGCATACATTAAATTCACGTACTTATTAAGTTACTTCCAATTGGAGTTAGGGACCTCACCTGCTTAAGTGCTTCTGAAAATCCCACTAGACACCGCTCTGCATCTTTAGGTGCCTAAATCCCTTTGTAAATCTGACCCACCTGCCCCGTTTCTTGCTCACTCTCATCTTTATTCCCCTTGTCTCCCCTTCCATGTCTGACTCAGTCGATCCATCACTTTCTCCCTGCCCCCATCCTTGTGTAAGCGGGGGAATGGTCCTGCTATTGTGGGGAACTTTCCTGGCTTATACATTACCCCGGTGAAATGGGTTAGCGAAAGGATCTGTGTCCTCGCTCCCACTTCCTTTACCCAGAGGCCTGCCTGACCTTGAGGGCTCCCCTTCCACTCTCCCCCGTGGCAGAGTCCTCGTAACCCCAACAAGTCTGGGCCCAGGATTCCTGGGGGGCTCGACCCCCAACCTTGTCATGGTCACATAGGGCAGGGGCTAGGGTGTCCCCACTCCGGGGTGTTCTCTCTGCACTGGATGCTTCCCTGACCCACTGATCATTACATACAGTTCAAAGCAAATACAATGTATTAAACAGCAATCAATTTTAAAAAATAAGGAAAAAATGGGAAAAGGTAAAGGAAAACACGTCACCCCGCTCTGTGGCATGGGGACGTCACAACCAGCATCTCTGGAATGTCAGGGCAGTTCAGTCTGTTTCTCACAAGTCCCAGGCTCCTTCTCAGGCCCTGGCTGTGCTGCAGGGATGCTGCCGGTCAGACACTTGCTCTGGCGGTGGCCACATGCTCTCAGGCTCTAGGTGGCAGGACCCTTTTTCCCAGCATCTTCCCCGTCCCGTTGGGGTTATGATCCCCATCCAAGTCTGGCCTGCAAGGCATCTTGGCTGAGGTGTCTCCCTGTGCTGGGCCTGCTGCCCAGGGTCCCCCTCGCTCTCCCCAGCTGCTCACCGCACCTGGCTCCGGACAGTTCCAGCCCCAGCTCCAGCTCCAGCTCCATCACTCTGCCTCAGCTCCAGCTCCACTCTGCCTCAGCACGGCTGCTGCTGCTTCTCTGCCCCCTCGGGCTCTGGTTGCTGCAGCTCCCCTCCCAGCACAGGTCGGCTCTGTGGGCTGCTTCTGTGACTCTTCTCCCAGCTCTGACCTGCTTCCTGGGCTGCTTTTCTGGCCCCTCTGACTGGCACAGCTCTGCTCCCCAGCTCAGCTCGGGCCCTGCTCTCTCCTTAGCTCAGCCCCACTCTGTCTGACCCAGGCAATTCCAGCTCACACGGAGGACGGGATCCCTGTGGCCTCCTGACGCCCTGATTGACAGAGCAGTCAGGCTAATCAGGCTGACCTGGAGCATTGGCCTCTGCCGATTGTTCCTGGGGACTGTCAGTCTCAGGGTCCTGATTTCCCCTTGGTACTGGGAGCTAGCCAACCAAAACACCCCCACTGAGTTTTAGTAAGGGGACAACAGTCCCCTTACATTTGTCTACCCTTTTCTCTTCCAGTCAGGACAGGTTGGGTTTTTTTTTTTTTGAAAGTGCAAATTATTTATAAACACTATCAACAAGGCAGGCAGGGAATTCATTTGTTTCTTCGGCTGTTTGGCAGCATTCGCAAGGAGAGGGAACCCTGTTATTTCCAGCCTCAGATTGGCCACGTGGGTCAGTGGATGTCCTCTGGGGGCCAGATCCTTGTACTCGCTACATGCTTTTAAGCTGTTTCACCAAAGCAAAGCAGCCATAGTGCCGGCTTCACTGGTCAGTGGAAGATACCCTCAGTGATGCAGCCCATCAGCTATAACAGCACCACAGCCGTGAGGGTATGGAGCATAGCTGGGGGCGAGGCTAGGGAATACGTGCCCCTCCGCTGCTCCCTGGCTGCCCGAACAGCCCCAGGCAAAGTTTGTAGCAGCCCTGAGGCTGCTCTTGCTTGCACCAGGGGCTGGCCTGGTCTCTTGTTGACCCTGGGATAAGGGGGCATAAAAGTGACATCAAGCCACCTTTGCCCCTTTCCCCTTTTGAGCTGCACTTGGTACAGGATTGGGGCTGGGATTTTGAATTGGAGTTAGGCAGCCCGTTTGCCAGGCAGTAAGCCATCATAATTCACTTGTCGAGCCTGCAGGTCCGGTTGTCACAGATTGCTAATGCAGCCCTAGGATGCATGAGGGGAGGTGTTTCCAGCAGAGATAGGCAAGTGTTAGTACCGTTACACAAGGCACTGGTGAGACCTCATCTGGAATAGTGTGTGCAATTCTGGTCTCCTATGTTTAAGAAAGATGGATTCAAACTGGTGCAGAGAAGGGCTACTAGGATGATCAGAGGAATGGAGAACCTGCCTCCCAAGTGGAGACTTAAGGAGCTTGACTTGCTTAACTTAACAAAGTGCTTCCTGTAAATACATCACAGGCAGGGGCGGCTCCAGGCACCAGCGCAGCAAGCGCGTGCCTGGGGCGGCAAGCCGCGGGGGTGGCCTGCCGGTCGCTGTGAGGGCGGCAGTCAGGCGGCCGTCGGCGGCGTGCCTGTGGGAGGTCTGCCGGTCCCACGGTTTCGGTGGCAATTCGGCGGCGGGTACGCCGAAGCCACTAGACCGGCAGAAACGCCGCCGAATCCGCGTGACTGCGGACCGCCCGCAGACATGCCGCCGAAGGCCGCCTGACTGCCGTGCTTGGGGCGGCAAAAAGCATAGAGCCGCCCCTGATCACAGGGATAAACACCAGGAAGGGAGAGGAGTTATTTAAGTTAAGGGCCCATGCTGGCACAAGAACAAATGGATAGAAACTGGCTATCAATAAATTTAGGCTAGAAATTAGACAAAGGTTTCTAACCATCAGAGGAGCGAAGTTCTGGAACAGCCTTCCAAGGGCAGAGTGGGAGCAAACACCCTAACTGGTTTTAAGACTGAGATTGATAAGTTTATGGAGGGGATGGTATGATGAGGTTGCCTACAATGTCATATTGCCCATCCATGACCGCTATTAGCAAATCTCTCTGATGGCTAGTGATGGGACACTAGATGGGGGACGGCTCTGAGTTCTACAGAGCATTCTCTCCCAGGTGTCTGGCTGGTGGGTTTTGCCCACATGTTCAGGGTCTAAGTGATCGCCAGATTGGCAGAGCCCGTGGGAGGGTTTCACCTTCCTCTGCAGTGTGCATTGCGGGTCACCTGCAGGGTTGAACTAGAGTAAATGGTGGATTCTCTGTAATTTGAAATCTTTAAATCAAGATTTGAGGGCTTCAGTAACTCAGCCAGAGGTCATGGGCCCACTACAGGAGTGGGTGGGTGAGGTTCTGTGGCATGTGGTGGGCAGGAAATCAGATTAGCTGGTCATGATGGTTAGCCTTCTGGCTTTAGCATCTATGAGTCTATGAGAGCAGGCATTTTCCCATCCTACCTGTGTTGCATGGGGGCTTGGACAATGCAGCTTCCCCCAGGTCTCCACCAAGGCTGCCTCCAGAGTTGGGGGATATGCTCCTTCACAGCCCTAGGTTCCAAGCTCCCATCCACGCAGCTGTCCCCAGTCTCAGTGGCCTCAACTCAGTCAAGGCAATTTGTGTGCATGTATACAACTGTCTGCAGGAGCTGGGTAAGGGTTACTGCTTGGAGTGACTCTGCCCCCTTTGTCTGTGTTGGGCATGTGAAGCCTGGAGGGAAACCAGTAGAGTTCAGTGAGCAGCACTGTGGGGCGTCAGACTCTAATCGGGCTGCCCCATTCCTCCCTCTTCTGGGAAGCTGCAGGAAACAAGCCCCTGTGCTCTGAGATCACTGTTCTTTCTTCCCCTTCTCTTTTCTCTCCCCTGCCACAGCTGATTCCTTCTCCTTTTCCACCCTATTTTTAGACATTGTTCCGTGTATGCGAGGCACACTAAGAGAGTTTCCAAGACAGCTGGTGAGACTTCCCCTTTCCCCCCAGACACGGGAGGCCCAGGGCATTTGGTGTGTGCACTAACGGAGCAGGATACCTGCTGGACTGACCTGACGCAGGGGCAGGGAAGGTGTTGGCCTACAGAGAAGCTCCTGGCCTGGGGCTGAGTGAGAGCTCTCGACACGCCAGTGCGTGTGGGTTGATCTGTGGTTCCCCTGAACTCCATGCCTTCCCTTGCCGCTGATATGGACTCTCAGTTTCTGCTGCTGCAGCTTCCTATTTCTCCTCTGATTCTTGCTGAATGCTCGCTCTGGCCGGAGTGTATTTAGCTGGTCTGCTGTTGCTCCATTTCTTCTTCTAGGTCTTTTATGAATCATTCTGTGGTCTTCTCATCTCTGTCATCACTTGTCTTCCTGTGAAGAGAGGAAGCAAGAGCAGCCCTATGTTTAGCCTGTGGTCATTGGAATATCTTCCCAGCCCCATCACTCCTCTTCCTCAGATGACCCCCCAAATTCCCTCCCCTCAAAATGGCATCAACTTAGACTCTCTCTTAAACCATTTCTCTGTGTCCCATTTGCATTTGTTTCTTGCATCTGTTTCTGCATTTAATAGAAGAGCTTGAATTTCTGAGAGACCGAGAGAGATCGAGTCAATGGCTTTTGATTGGGTTAGATTTTGTATTTAGGTCACTGCTTTATCAAGTTCATTTGTCCTGATCTTGCTCGTGAAAGAAGCTCGTTTGTATGAGAAACCACAAAACAAAATTTGGCAAGATTGAACACTGCTGCTTGAGAGAGTCCTGGGAGTGAAACGGGGGAGGGGGGGCGGATTGTTGCAAGATCAGGACTGAGGGACATTGGCATTGAGGTGTAGTGCTCAAGACTGGTGTGTCAGGGGGTGCTGCAGGGTCAGGAGGAGCATTGGCAGAGCTGGGATTGGGTCCCAGGAATGGAATAGGAGGGCAGGGTGCAGGGCAGGAGGCAGGTGCCATGGCAGAATGTTACGGGAAGGAGCAGCTCAGGACTGGAATGGCAGGGGTTGCTTTGTCCTGCCTACAATGTTGTGGGGCTCCGCTTGCCGTGAGACAGCTCCCATTCTCACTGGCATTCATTTTCCCTTTGGTATTTCCAGGGTCATCTGATCTGAGCGAGGCTGAAGAGGCTGAAATAGACACCATCAAGCGGCACAGGATGGCACTCCTGGAGGACATTCAGGTATGGGCCACCCCGCCTCTTCCCATCTCTGGACAGGCAGATCTTCCCAGAACCTGCTCTCTGGGGGAACTCTTTACAAACATCCCATCCCATCTAGAACAGTTCCCTGGCCTGGCAGGAGATACTTTCCCAAGCACCATCAGATCTGGAATGCTGAGGTTCATATGGCACCAGTCCTACCAATAAGCAGCATCCAGCCTGGGGAACTCTCTGTTGAAAGAGATCATCAAAGCAAACACTATAACTGGACATTTTGAAAAGGCTGGCAAACTTTATGAGCAATATTACTATAAACCCAGCTCCTCAGCTGGGATAAATCGAGGTAGCTTTGTTGACATGAATGGATCTATGCCAAATTACAGCAGCTGTCCCAATATGTGGAGTTACTGTTAATTAGCATGTATTACTTGTCTAGTACCATAGCTGTGCATGGCAGTGTACAAAACCAAAACTGATCGTTTCTGTTCTATTCCATGCCCATTGTCATGGCATCTTAGCCCCAGCCCTGTGTCAAGCTCTCTGGAGTGGCTCACGAAACCTCAGGACAGCTACAAACCAGGGCACAACCCCCAAACTGGTTGTGTGTTTTTATCATTAGATTTAACCACCCATCAAGTGTGAATTCCACAGGCACTATAACAGCCTTAACACGGAGTCACAGACAGTCCTCTTGGGCACTTCAGTCTATCTTGCCACCCAGGCAAGCCTGCCTTTGTGACAGATGGTCCCTTACACCAAAAATCACAATATTCAGGTTATTCCCAGTTCCAAAGGACCAGTTACTTACCCCAGGTCATTTGTACCTTAAATCCAATACCAAAGACAATGCTTTTAGCCAATCCTATATTTAGGGCCCTACCAATTTCACGGCCATGAAAAACGTGTCATGGACCATGAAATCAGCCCTCCCCCAAGAAACCTGATCTCCACTGCTGCTAGGAGCCCAGGGCTCCTAACTGTTAGTCCAGCCGCACTGGGGAGGGACAGGAGTTGTCCTTCCCCTGCACAGCTGCTCTTGGTGGGGAAATCAGACCCACCTCCAGAAGCAGCACAGAAATGAGGGTGGTACACCCCTCCCTTCTGCAGTGCAGCAGCCTGGGAGCTGGGCTCCAGGCCTTCCACCCCCCACCCCACCCCCCCGGCCACGGGTCCTGCCGCAGCACCAGGCGCCAAGCTTGAGGCTTCCTCCCACAGTGGCTCCTGCCAGGCTGGGAGCTTTTGCTCACAGCGGCTGCAGCTGGAGCAACCTCCGCCCCCCCCCCCCCGCTCCAGCTGGAGCTTGGGGCAGTCTGGGCTCGAGGCTTCAGCCCTCCATCTGCAGTCGGGGCACCTAGGCTCCAGGCTTCTTCCCCTGCGGCTCCTGCCGGGACTCGGGGTGACCTGGTAGGGGCTTCTGCCCTGGCACTTCTTCCAGGGCTGGGGCAACCATTTTTCCTGGTGGGCCCACAGATTGGCCAGGGGCCCCTGCCTTAATCTGTCCCTGGCATGGACTAGCAGCTAGGAGCCCCCAGCTGGGGCACTCCCAGCAGCATTGGGGGAGATCCTACCCACCTCCACCTCTGGGAACCTCTAACTGCAGGAAGCTGGGAGGGTGCTGACTTCAGAGCCCAGCTCTGAAGGTAGCACAGAAGTGAAGGTGGCCATCTTGGGACCCACCTACAACTTTGCAACCCCTCTCATCCCCCATGATCCCATTTTGGGTGGAGACCCCCCTGGTTACAAACCCTGAAATTTCAGATGTAAACATCTGAAATTGTGAAATTGACCCATTTAAAAACCCTCTGGCTGTGAAATTGACCAGAATAGACTGTGAATTTGGTAGGGCCCTACCTATATTAAACTAACTAAAGGTTTATTAATTAGGAAAAAGAAATAAGGGAGGTATGACAAGGTTAAAGCAGGTAAACACACACACCCACATGAGTTACCATCGTAGGTTTCAAAAATAGAAGCTGCTGTAATGTTCAAGCGCTAGCTGTCCTTAGGGTTAATCCAGCTAAGCACGTTGGGGATCCCTTGCTTATGCTTAGAAATACTGCCCTCTCCAAATTCCAAGCAGCACAGTGATACAGATCCTTCTGGTCAGGGATTTTTATTCCCTTCCCCCAGAGTTCAAACTGGGATGGGATGAGGGTTTGTGCAGGTCCCCTCTTCATGGGTGTGGGGGGAACAATCAGCAAAGTCTTTTGTCCACTGATGTTCCACGGTGGTTTATCTGGTGTCTATGGGCCTTCTTCTGTTGAGCAGGAGATGACACCTCTTGTGATAAACTAGTATTTCACGCTTGGTAATGCTTCTTTTCTGACTGTGGGGGTTTCTAGTTTGATAGCAAACACTTAAATATTACCTTATAGCTTGCGGTACAGATATTGCCAGTGAGATTAATGCATGCGGCAACTCACAAGTGTTCCATAAAGTCCAAACACATCTCTCTAAATCTAATACCCATTTTAACAATACTAATACCCAAGTGAGCCAGACTGGTTTCCAGCTATGCATTTGTCAGTGTTCCGTGAAGCCTAGGGGCCTTGCCATGACCTGGCACCTGGCCTGCCAGCATCACACCCTGAAGAGCTTATTAAGCCAGCTCGATGGCACTATGTTGATTTGCATCAGCTGAGGAGCTGGCCCACGATCTGCAGGTGCCCAGATGCGCAGGTGACGAGTGCCTTGACTAGGACAGAAGGTTACGCCAAGTGCTACCAGATAAATAATCCCATCTCGTGCTTCGTGGTGTGAAGTGATTGCCATAGAGTCAGGAATGCAAGCCCCCTCCCCCTTCCAGGTACAGCTTTGCACAACTGTCCATGTGCATTGTTTGTTTGCCGTCCCACTGCCAACGAAGGAGGCAGGAAACCTGAGTAGATGGACCAGAGGGCTGACCCAGTATGGCAGGAGACAAGATACTGGACTAGATGGGCCAATAGTCTGAATCAATCGTCTTCCCAAAGCTGGTTGGTAACCAGTCACTGCCCACTGGGGCAGGAGGTGCTTAGGTAATAGGATCCCAGGATGGAGATTCATCCCCTGGGGAATTTCTTCAGCAGTCTTGGTGCATTATCACCGGGGTTAAACAGCTGGGAGATCTCAAATTGCCTATTGAGCAGCTGAAGGATAGTGCCAAGAAATAGGAATAATAACAGTAAATCATTTGTATCACAGTAGCCAAGCTCAGGGCTCTGTTGTGCTAGGTGCTGTACAAACATGTTCTCAGGGACAGTCCCTGCCCTGAAGGGCTTAAAATCTAAATCAACTCACTGGGCAAAGGGTGGGAGGGGAAACAGAGGCATGGAGAGAACCCCAAGAACTTGGCTCCCTTTGTAACCCAGAGGCAGCCGATTAGGGGCCGGGAACTACCAGGTGTCCAAAGGAGCTGAATTCCATGTTTAAATGATAGAATATAATGAGGAGCAGCCCCACCAGCTCATCAGTCTGTGCGGCAACTGCTGAATGACAGGGGCACAAGCAGCTCCCCCGATACAGGATCAGCACACCCAAGCCCCAGGTGACTCCCCCTGCTTGGTAGCTGGTTCCACTGCCTCTCTGCACACCTTTCCCAGCTGCACGGCTGGGCTACAGCAGGGAAAGGGGCACGGCGCAGCACCCAGGATCCATTCCAGAGTGGGCACAGACATGGGTCCCTGTTCTCCTGCTCCCTGGCTCGGTCTGCACTCGACTTTTCAGAACATTTGCTCCGCACCCCCGCCTTCAGCCAGTGTCCAACATGCGTGGAGAAGGCGACCTGAGATCAGTGCCCTTTTTGATAAGACACCCTGGCTGGTCCCATTACAATGGCCAGTGAACTGGGCTGGCCCTGCCCATGCCAGCAGGGCTTGGCAGCCGCCCAGAGGTGAGGTGAGACATCTGGTCTCTCTCCCATCCCCTGGATCGCTCTCACCCCTGTCTCTTCCTCCCACAGAAGCTGAAGGTGGAGATTGCGCAAGTGTTTGCGGAGATAGATTGCTTCCAAAGTGCAGAAGAGAGGTGAGGATCCAGCCATGTGCCTGCAGGGATGTGGCGATTGCATGGTTGTTCCTTTGGTGCATAGGTGGCATGGCTCTTCTTCAGGGTGGAGAAGGAACCAGGGGCCTGCTTTAATGCCCTAGCTGGAGCCTTTCCATTGACATCAATGGGGGTTGGCTCATGTCCCAGGAGAGGGGAATCTTTCTGGGCACAAGGGAAATGATGGAGACAGCTGGCTTGCGCACTCTCTCTCTCATGAGATTTCTCTTTACTAGAGAGCAGTGAGTTCAGTAAAACACCAGCCCCTTGAATGATTCCAGGCTCCATGGGGGTTAACACCCCCTGCCTTAGGATGGGCACAGGCAGGCGGGTGAGTGGCTTCTCTTCTCGGCCCTGGAGCAAGCCAGAGCTGAGATCAGGAAACTCCTGTTGGGAACTCAGCCCCCCTCTTGCCCCACCCTGGAGGGGAATACGGCCGGCCGCTTCTCTTTGTGCCAGGCTTGATTCTCCACCTTTGCATCTGCAGCAAAATGGTCCAGAGGGACAAAGATCTGTGCGTGGGCCGGAAGAAATTCAACATGGACCCTACAAAGGTAAGGTGTACTGTTCCGACTGCTGCTTTTTGGCATCCCATATGGACCCCTCTTTACTACAGATCAGATGCGAGTTACCCACCCCAAAGACATTCATTCTGCCATCGGGGCAGACACACGCGGGGTGGGCCCCAGGAACTGACAACAGGATGGGGGAGGCTGGTTTCTCAGCCCGACAGAGCACTGTCAGGCAACGCTCCACGCCACGATATCTTCTGAGAGCTCTGAGCAATGGTGCCTCCCCATGACACGTTGTGCTGACACGTGTCAATCAAAGCACCCCCAAAGCAGAAGAGAAATGGAAGGAGGAGAGACAGGGCCAGACTTAATCCAACCACTAACTCTTCTGTCTGTCAAGGGAGCACAAATCCGGAGAGTCCCCAGCCCAGGCTCTCTCACCCCCGTCAGCTGAGGTTTGATATAGATTTCTCTAAAACCTATTCCTGGGTTGCCTGGGTAGGGAGGGAGGTCACCCGACAGGATGTGAGGCTTTCTCGCACTCAGAGCAGGCCTGGCCAAGCCAGGCCGCCCCTGCTGCTGGCTTGGAAACAAGAGTCTGCAAAGCAAGTCCGGGTGTCCCACCCGCTGGATAACTCCCCCCACCCTCCAGTGCAACCCGCCCCACTAGCAGGAGACTCAGAGCAGGATGTAAAGGCAGAGGTGAATATGAATAACAAGAGACCTAAGGGCCGCTTTCTCTCCCCTCCCCCGCTCTGCTGGACCACTCAGTCTGTGCTCAGCAAAGAAAACCACAAGCTGCAACAGAAATATCAGCCCCCATCATTTTAACCACAGCAACCGTCTCACTGGCTCCGGCTCAACTGCTGCTGCTCTGACCAACTTTCCATCACGCCTCCGCCCCCTCCCACTGGCTCGCAAAAGAGGACCCTCCAGCCGAGCCGGTGCTAGGCAGACTAAGCAATTGCTTAGGGCCCCGAGCAGCTCCAGGGGGCCCCGCATTCCCTTTTTATTATGTGTTGTATGTGGTGAGGGGGAGGATATTCCTGCTTAGGGCCCCCAGTGGGCTAGCACTGCCTCTGCACTTCAGTACCATCGCAGCAACTGCTGGCAATACCCACCAGCCCACCAAAGGGGGAGAACAGTCTGGGTGACATTCACTCCAGAGCATCAGCAAACCAGCATTAGGACTTCTTTCTATTTACATCCCACCTGGCAATCCGGCCCCTTGCGGTCTCTTATGTAGAGTTAAATCAAGCCCTGTTTTGAGGCCCTAAGTGGGACTTTAGTGATGCCTGGTCTTTGTGCTGGCCCCTGTCCGCAGAGGGGGTTGCACCCATTGAGAGTGCAGACTCCGCCCAGGGGCGGTGGGGCGGGAGGAGGGCAGTGGGTGTGACTTTGGGATAGAGCTGGTTGGAAAAACTTAGAGGGAGCTATTTTCCATTGGAAAACACAGCTCTGTTGAAATCAAAACGCATCACAAAATCATGTCGATTTCATCGAAATTCTGCTTCAGAGAAAAAAAGGCGTAGTGGGGGGAAGGGAGGGGAGTTCTGATAGTGTTGAAACACCCCATTTGGACACATTCAGAATGGAACGTTTCCATGTTTCCTTTCGAAAGGATGTTTCCTTTCGGAATGTTTTAAACTGTGCACGACGCTGTACATTATAATAGAATATGCCTTTTTTTAAAAAGTCAGAACGGAACCAAACCAATTTTGTGGGCACAAAGCATTTTGCTCAACCCAAAATGAATTTGGGGGGAGAGGGAGAGGTGTCATTTTCTTCCGTGGAGAATTTTGAAATTTTCGGATTCCGTTGGATCGAAACGAAGAAAACTTTGAAATCGCAAAATCCTGCTTGAAACGGACTTTCTGTTCTCCGCACAGCTCTGCTCAGGAACCTGGCAGCTCCCCGACAGTAGGTGTCCCGGGCCAGACCAGGATAGGTACAGCGTTAGCTCCTTTGTGGAACATGAGGGGAGGGATTAAGATGGCAAGTCTGGCTGTGTGCTCCCCAGCTGCGGTCCGAGGGGTAGGGGGAGTAGCTGGATTTGGGAGGAGGCCTGCAGAGCTGGGGAAACATGATGTCCCGAGATGGTTGGGCTGGACCCCCATTAAATTGCCCTTCCCTGGCCCCCCAGAACGTCCTCACTCATAGCCTGGGTGTGCTCTTCCCCCAGGGGATCCAGTACTTGACCGAGCACAAGGTGCTGACCTCAGACTTGCGAGAGATCGCCAGGTTCCTCTACAAGGGAGAAGGCCTGAACAAGACAGCCATCGGGGATTACCTGGGAGAGAGGTGAGCCTCCCCTAGCTGATCTAACTCCCTTAGGCCTTGTCTACAATGGGGGTTAAACCCAATTTCAGCCGCCAGTGTAGCTGAACTGTAGCAGCCCCTAGCATAGACAGGCAGAGCTGCTACTTGCACTGGGGGAGCTCGGCCCTGCTTCAAAGGGAGATAAGCCGTGTCTAGCTCCGCTTCCGGCTGGTTACCCTGCAGGTGCAAGGGGTTAGCACTGGGGCAGCTGCACTGGTTGCTGATGGCTGTACTTGGGGCGAATTGCACACAAGGCATCAGTGTAACAACCTTGCCAAAGGTCCTAGTGTCGTTTCATGGGGGGAAACGGAGCTAGATTTGGAAAGCAGGGAGAGGGGGTGTGCAGAGATGTTCCTGGGGGAATCAAAGCTCTGAGGGGTCTGAGCCCAGCTCTGCTCTAGGTCACATAGTAAGGCTGCATCATAAAGCACCGAGTTACAGTCTCCTTCTCTCCCCACACCCTCCCACTCGGCCCTGTTTCCTCTACCAGGGACCCAGTGAACCTGCAGATCCTTCAGGCCTTTGTGGAATGCCACCCGTTCGCCAACCTCAACCTGGTGCAGGCACTAAGGTGAGTGAGCATCCGGACAGAGAGCAGCAGAGGCCTGGGAGTGGGTGCTCAGGCCTGGCTGCAAAGGCAAGTGAACACATGCCAGAGGGCACGGGGCTAGGGAGACAGCTCAGAGCGAGGACAGAGCTTCCCAAGCATTCATCTGGGAGGGGACCCCCGCCCCCATTTTCATACTTGGGTGTCCGACTGCACCAATGCAGGGAAGCCACTTCCCAGGGCGGTGTGCCATTGCAGTGCGGTGCGTTGGGGAGCGTGACCCCCATTTCCCTGGGGGGCATCTTGCTGCAGTTCCCTGTGTTAGGCAAGAATCACCTATATGTCATAGGAGTGCATCCTACTCTTTCATAGATTGGCCCCCCTTCTTCCTCCTGGGGTGTCCCAGCATGGGGGGGAGAGGACCTGCTATTTCCAGAGATGTCCACATGGGTAGTGTCCGTGTGCTGTGGGAGAGGGACACACCCCCCCCCCCCCGTTTCAAGGGCATCTCATTGAGCTCTCACATTGCCCATGCGGGCTTCTCATCGGGCTCTTGTGCACTAGCAGCAGAGGGAGCCTGTGTCCCTGGGGGAGGCATCTCGTTTGAGGCTGTGCACTGGGGAGAGGGGTCCCCGTTTGCTAAGAGAGCGTCCTGCTGGACGCCCATGTGGTGGGCAGAGAGGCCCCGGGCTCTGGAGCAGGTGTCCTGTCCTGCTCTCTTGTTTTGGGGGAGGTCCCCGTTTCTGAGGGACGGTGTCTAGTTGTTGCCCTAGGAGCTGAAGGAGGGTTCCCTCTTTCCCAGGCTGGGTGTCTCATTGGGTGCTGAGGGGAAAGCTGCCTGGGTCCTAGGCTGGGTGTCCCATCGCACCCGTCTTGGGAAGAAAGGGGCCCCTGTTACACATAAGGACGTCCTGTTGCCTTCCCTGTGTGGAGGGAGGACACCCGCACGTCCATGGGAGGAAGGAGGGCACCCCTGGGCATTAGGGGCATGAAGCCTGCCTGGCCATTGCATGACTCGCCCACGGGCCCGGTGTCCTTGCAGACAGTTCCTGTGGAGCTTCCGGCTGCCCGGGGAGGCCCAGAAGATTGATCGGATGATGGAGGCCTTCGCCAACTGGTACTGCCAGTGTAACCCGGGAGTCTTCCAGTCGACAGGTAGCTGCAGAGGAGGGGAGTGGGAATGAGCTGCCAGATGTTTGCATGATCCACCACTCACAAAATGTAGTGTTTGAACAGTAGAGGCAGCACCTCCAGCTTTAGCTTCCCTTAGGTCAGGTGATTTGGCCCTGGTCCCATATCACTTCTGCCAGTTCCTACCTGTAGGTGGTTTTTCTAGAGACAAGGGACAATGCTGATCTCCATTTCACTGACAGAAACCCACTGGGCCATGTCCACAGCTGGTGTGAACCCACTCAACTGCGGGAAAGCCAGTGGAGTCTACATGGATTGACCCCAGCTGGGGATCATTAATGATCTGGATGGTGGGATGGATTTCACCCTTAGCAAGTTCGTGGATGACACTAAGCTGGGGGGAGTGGTAGATACATTGGAGGTAGGGATAGGGTCCAGAGTGACCTAGACAAATTGGAGGATTGGGCCAAAAGAAATCGGATGAGGTTCAACAAGGACAAGTGCAGAGTCCTGCACTTAGGACGGAAGAATCCCATGCACTGCTACAGCCTGGGGACTGACTGGTTAAGTGGCAGTTCTGCAGAAAAGGACAAGGGGATTACAGTGAATGAGAAGCTGGATATGAGTCAACAGTGTGCCCTTGTTGCCAAGAAGGCTAACCACATATTGGGCTGCATTAGTAGATTGAGGGAAGTGATTATTCCCCTCTATTCGGCACTGGTCAGGCCACATCTGGAGTATTGTGACCAGTTTTGGGCCCCCCCACTACAGAAAGGATGTGAACAAATTGGAGAGAGTCCAGTGGAAGGCAATGAAAATGTTTAGGGGCTGGCGCACATGACTTATGAGGAGAGGCTGAGGGAACTGGGGTTATTTATTCTGCAGAAGAGAAGAGTGAGGGGGGATTTGATAGCAGCCTTCAACTCAGGGCCGGCTCCAGGCACCAGCGTAGCAAGCAGGTGCCTAGGGCGGCCAATGAAGAGGGGGGCAGCAGGTCCAGCTGTTCGGCGGCAATTCGGCGGTGGGGCTGTCACTCCCTCTCGGAGCGAAGGACCTGCCTCCGAATTGCTGCCGATCACGGCTTTTTTTTTTTTGGTGTGTGCTTGGGGTGGCAAAAACACTAGAGCCGGCCCTGCTTCAACTACCTGAAGGGGGGTTCCAAAGAGGATGGAGTGAGGCTGTTCTCAGTGGTGGCAGATGACAGAACAAGGAGCAATGGTCTCAAGTTGCAGTGCGGGAGGTCTAGGTTGGATATTAGGAAACACTATTTCACTAGGAGGGCAGTGAAGCACTGGAATGGGTTACCTAGGGAGGTGGTGGAATCTCCATCCTTAGAGGTTTTTAAGGCCCAGCTTGACAAACCCTGACTGGGATGCTTTAGTTGGTGTTTGTCCTGCTTTGAGCAGGGGGTTGGACTAGATGATCTCCTGAGGTCTCTTCCAAACCTAATCTTCTATGATTCTATGATCTAGCCCAAGTTTCTAGTCTCTTACCTACAAAAGAAGTTGCCGCTTGTTGTCTTGATTTCCCTTTTCCTCCCCGTTATCTCTGATCTCTTCTTCCTTCTTTCCCCTGGCCAATCTCCTCTCCTCCTCCTTCTTGCCACTCTCCTTCCTTTCCCCTCGTGTCACTCTCCATCATCACTGTCCCTCTTCAGGCAGTTGGCTCCAGAAGCCCTATCAGCACCCGACACCTTAGGATAGTGGCTCCTGGTCATCTAACAGTGGCAGTGCTGTCAGTGATCTGCACTCAGATAGCTGAGCCATTGTAATGCCAACCCAACCATCCTGTCCCAGCAGTGAAAAAGCCTGTCACCACCATCAGGCTTGTGTCTCCGGCCCACAGCTCCACTCTCTGGAATGATAGGCCCAGGCCACCCCTCTGTCCGTGTATTCCTAGCTCCCACCTGTCATGCTTCACGTTCCAGCATTTCATGTGGGTTGTGATGGGCACAAAAACTGTGTCCCAGCGACTGTGTCCTCCCGCCGCGATGCTGTCCTAAATCAGCATCTGTGCCGGAGGTCAGACAGTGGTTCTCAACCGATTTACCATTGTGGGCCGCATCCAATACTATCTGTATGGCCCTGAGGATGTCACATGACCCACACCTGTGTGCTGATGGCTGCAAGTTGAGAACCACTCGTGATCACAATGGTCCCTTCTGACCGTAATGTCTATGAGCATCGACAGCCACCTGTCTTAAATCAGCGCCGTCACATAATGGCGCAAGGTTAAGGAGGCAAATAAATGTCACACCCTCCACCTGGGACTTGTGTTCCCTCCACACGCACGATGCTGGCCCTTGACAGGCCCCGTGTACCAGCCATCAGACTCCAGTGGGGTGAGCACCCTCCCCCGCTTTCCAAGGGCTCCATGGGATCCAAGCGCTCAGTACTGGAGCCCAAAGGAACAGGCAATCCGAGGGCCAGCAAAGGGAGACAGCCTCCTCCCACTGCAGGAGGAACCTTTCTAGAGCCTCAATGGGAACAGGGAAACCTCCCACCCACCTCCCCCCAGAACCCCAGGGGCACGGTTCCCCCTGCAGGGGTGTCTGGCGTGGCGATGCTGCCAGTCACCCACACCCCTCTGCACTCTCTCGCTCACTGGCAGATACGTGCTACGTGCTCTCCTTCTCCGTCATCATGCTGAACACCAGCCTGCACAATCCCAATGTGAAGGACAAGCCCCCTTTCGAGAGGTTCGTGGCCATGAACCGAGGCATCAACAATGGAGGGGACCTGCCTGAAGAGCTCCTGCGGGTAAGTGCTCCTGCCTGCTCGCCTGGCCTGCTGCCGGGTGCTGAGCTGGGAGAAATACCCGACTCAGCCAAAGGCATCATCGATACGTCTCCCTGAGGCATCGCACTGATTTCTGGGCGGTCCCTTCCTGGAGCATCCATGGTCCCCATGAGTGGGAAAGTCCAAGTATTCCTCCCTCCTCCGTGGATCTGAGAGTGCAAGGAGACAAAGGCCTGCTAGGCCCAAGGTATATCACCCCACAAGCTTATCAGGTGTCTGTTTTTTTACCAGAACCATTAAAAGTCCGGTTGGCAGCACAGCCAGACAAGGCAGACTCCCTGTCTACCGTGGCTCCGCGCGGCTCCCAGAAGCAGCCAGTATGTCCCACCCCGGCTCCTAGGCGTAGGGGCAGCCAGGGGACTCTGCACGCTGCCCTCACTCCAAGCACCAGCTCCACAGCTCCCGTTGGCCGGGAACCACGCGGCCAATGGGATCTGCGGGGGCGGCGCCTGCAGACAGGGCAGCGCACAGAGCCGCCTGGCTGCGCCTCCACATAGGAGATGTAGGGAGGACATGCCGCTGCTTCCGGGAGCTGCCTGAGGTAAGTGTCGCCCGGAGCCTGCCGCCCTCATCCACCCCACACCCCGCCCCGCTGCCCTAACCCTGATCCCCCTCCTGCCCTCCAAACCCCTCGATCCCAGCCTGAAGCACTCTCCTGCACCCCAAACCCCTCATCCCCAGCCCCACCACAGAGTCTGCACCCCCAGCTGGAGCCCTCACCCCTGCACCCCACCTCCCTGCCCCAACCCAGAGCCCCCTACCGCACCCTGAACCCTTCATTTCTGGCCCCACCCCAGAACCCACATCCCCAGCCGAGAGCCAGTACCCTCTCCCATACCCCAACCCCCGCCTCAGTCCAAAGCCCCCTCCCATACTCTGAATCCGAACCCCTCGGTTCCATCCCCCAGCATGGATCCCCTTCCTGCACCCCAAATCCCTCATCCCCGGCCCCACCCTGGAGCCCACACCCCCAGCCAGTGCCCTCACCCCCTCCCACACTCCCAACCCCCTGAGTCAGGCTGTGAAAATGAGTGAGTGAGTGAGGGTGGGGAGAGCGAGCGACAGAGTGGGGGGTGGAGTGAGCAGGGGCGGGGCCTCGAAGGAGTGGTGGGGAAGGACTGGCCTCAGAGGAGGGTCAGGGCAAAGGTGTTCGGTTTTGTGCGAGTAGAAAGTTGGCAACCCTAGTGACCCAGCTGCTGAGGAAGGTGGAATAAGTGGACTCTCCCATACTGTAGCAGGGGTGCTCCAGGAGCGGGGTATGGGTGTCTGGAAGATGAGAGAATGTGCTTTGGCCGGGGGACAGGGAAGGTACATTGGAGAGAGCCTGCCAATGTGACCTTGCTGGCCAGGGTGTGCTGCAGACCAGGAGAGTGTGGGGCGGAGAGTGTGCGGTGTGTGTGTGTGTGTATGTAACAGAGAGAGAGAACGAATCTGTGAGGGTTGCATGCGCCTTTGCGAGTGTGGTTAGCGGTGGGTGTGTCTGTTGGGGATGTGTGGGTGGTGTGCGTGTCTGCGAGTGTGTATCTGTGTGTGGGGATGTCTGCCTTTGTCGGGCTGGGTCTTTTAATGGGCCTAATGGAGCGAGGCACCCAACGCCCAGCAACCTGCCAAGAGAGCTGGGCACCTGACTCCCTTAATCCCAGCCTTTGTCTGTAAGCTGTTCTGGGCACGGTGTGTGTACATCTGGGGCATCAAGATGCTGCTGCTGCTGCTGCTGATGATGATGATGATGATGATGATTGATGATGATGTCATTGTGGGCCAAATTCTGACCCCCTTACTCACACTGAGTAGCACCCAGGAACATCCCCATTGACTCCCGGGGAAGGACTCGCGGCGTAAGGTGCTGACGTGAATAAGGGTCTCAGAGCCTGGCTCTGCGATTGCCATGTGTCTTCGCTGAGGGGCGTTTGCTCAAAGAAGGACTCTGGCGTCTCTTTCTGCACACGTCGTGCTATTTGTAGCTCAGGTTTCTCTGATCCCGAATGGCCTTGTGCCCCTGGCCTCAGCCTCGGAAAGTCTCAAGGGATTTATTTTACCTGGTGAATTCCTGTATTGCCCGGGGGCCATTCTCCCTCTCGCTAGGCCTCCCTCTGCTGAGGATCCTGGTGGCACCCCCTGCAGGTTCACCCTCTGGCTCACTTGGCAGTATCAGTACTCAGACCAGACGGGGATCTGTACTTACGAAAGGGAGTCGTTAGGCTTGGGCAAGGAAGAGCCTTAACGGCCAGGTTTCCAAAAGAGCAGAGCAGCACCCCGTGGCCCTTGTTCAGGGGCCTAAATGGGGGCAGAAAGTCTGGCCCTAAGAGACCAAATGCTGCCGCTGGCCTGCATTGGCAGCCGCAAAGCAGTGTGTGCATACCCTGCTTCTCCCGTGCAATTCCCAGAGCTGTGGAGACCAGCCACCGCATGGCTGCGCCTCAGGGAAGGCAGCATGACAGCTCCTCCCTTCTCACACAATGCCCTGCGGGGAAGGTTTAGTGCAGGGGTTCTCAAACTGGGGGTCGGGACCCCTCAGGGGGTCGCGAGGTTATTACATGGGGGGTCACGAGCTGTCAGCCTCCGCCCCAAACCCTGCTTTGCAGCCAGCATTTATAATGGTGTTAAATATATAAACAAGTGTTTTTAATTTATAAGGGGGGTCGCACTCAGAGGCTTGCTGTGTGAAAGGGGTCACCAGAGCAAAAGTCTGAGAACCACTGGTCTAGTGTCTCCTGCTCAGGTTTAGCCACGGGGTGCTGCTCTGCTCTTTTGGAAACCTGGCCGTTAAGGCTCTTCCTTGGGGTGCCCAGAACTCTAAACCACTGTGTTACCCCCCCTGTCTGTCCACCTCACCAACAAACTCCTCAAGACGCTGCCAGTCTTAACCTGTCCTTGCTGGTAATATTCAGTGAACCCGTTCTCAAGCCCCCCAGGAAAAATGTTCCTCTGCAGCAACTAGGCCCAGCCCTGGATGCCCACAGAAATACCACGTCAGCTGGTGCCTCCAGAGAGACAGAATCCACACCAGCCAGCTGGCTCACCGAGGACACATTCTTCACCTTAATACACAGCACTGAGATGCGGCGGCGTATTACACGGCTCTACAGCCAAAATGCTTCTGAAATAAATGTAGTCAAACTTTACTAATTCTGGGTCACTGAGAACGAAAATGCTGCTTACAATTGTTGATTGGCTTTAGTTTTCAAGATATGCTATTGGGTGAGTA